GAGCATTATATAATTCGTGGGACGAAATTATTAATGCATTGGTCACTATCAAGGATGACATTTTCGAAAAATGTGCTACGCGAAATGAATCAAATGGTCTTTATAATCAAATGCAAAAATTAGAAACATCATTTATGGTAATTTTCTGGAATTATATATTAGAACGATTTAATGCATCAAATAAGCAACTACAATGTGTTGAAATTGKAAATGATAAAGTTTCTCAAATTTATACATCACTTATTAATCTAGTACAAAAAACCCGAGATAATTTTAATGAATATGAAACTAAAGCTAAAAAAATATCAAAGATTACAGAGTACAATGTTGATATAACTCGACAAAAAATAGAAAAAAAATTTGGTAAAAAATGGTGAAAAAAAACAAAATAATGAAATAATGTAAGATTATGAAAGCTTATGCAAAATCAGTTTTCAACAAGCTGTTCTCATAATGTCTCACAGTCGTAGGTAATTATAATATAAGTAATTAATTTAATCAGGGAGTTTGATTTTTTATTAAACATGAATCGTACTACATTTGTATGAATGTCATGATACAACTATCAATATATTTGGACTCTTTTTGTGCCATTTAAAGATTTTTAAATGTATGGTCATGATTTTTACAATCGTTTAATATAATATTATTGTCAAAACCACAAAAATGTTTTTAAAACGTTTAGTTTTTATTAGTTGAATACCTGCGAGGTTTCTCCTAATTTTATATTATTATAGACATTTCAAAATAACAAACACCTAATTTATATTTACAGATATTTTGAGTTCAAATTTTGAATTCCGACATTAAATTGTTTTATTGTAATCACAAAAATTTTCTTCGAAGGAAACTTTTTGCCATTTCCTTATCAAAATTACAAACAGAAAAGTTAATTACTATGATAAACACATTAAATATCTTTAGCAATATAGGCCTACAGATAACTCTCCACCCAGAAGCATCTTTCGTGTACAATAATTTGTCTTTGATTCAAATTGAATATATAACGATCTACAGCTTGCGACCGAATCATCGTTTATGTCACACTCTACGAATTTGCTTAGGTTCAGAACACAGAAACGTTGAGTACGATCATATTATATTATTGTTATTTACATAGGTGGTAGTTT